AGCCTCTCACTTTTGAGATATAAAAGAGCAGATTAGGCACAGAAGACATACTCCAGGGGAAAAATGAACACTATTTGAAGACAATGTCCACAGCCCAGCATCTCCAAGGATGGTTGGTCAGTTAGAGAAACTAAGAGGATTTTCCCCCCAGAGCGGACAGAGAGAGCCTTATACGAGAGCCGGTGCCCTAAATTCAAACTTCCAGCCTCCTAACTGTGAGAAAATAAATTTCTGTTTGTTAGAGCTGCCCACTTATGGAATTTCTGTTATAGCAGCACTAAGAAACTAAGACAGCAAGGTAGGAGGATATTAGTTTAATCATTTCCCCAACGGGTGCTTGTAGCTTACTGTACAAGCTTATATTCTACTCCTGAGGCTTTTTACTATTTATTTGGCATTTCTCTCCTCCTGCATAGGATTCCTTCCTAATGTGTAAATACCAAAGATTCTCGGGATCTGGGAGTGGGTTATTTTAGAACTGGCTGTTTCCCTTCATGGGCTTAGAGCCCATGTGTTAGTTTCTAATTGTCCACTAGATGGTACTGTGAGGGGCCAATGACTGCAAGTTATACAGCCCCGGACTCTAGCTTGTTTCGAAAATACTCTGCTAATCTTTTCTCTCCAGGCTCCCAGACATTCCAGGAGGGGGCGTATAGCTCTCTCTCCTCCCTAACTACAGCCTAGACCTTGAAATTGAGGATAGAGAGTCTAGGACGGAAAGGGTACAGTTGTTTGTCAGTATCACCATCTCTCAAGGATCAGGAATGTTTTCCATTCTGTCCTGAAGATCAGAGAAGATGCTGAACTGCGGTGGAAGGGATAGTGGTTACACCCCAAGAGGAATAACTGGCTGAGTGGGGGTAATAGAATTAGCTTAGAAGAGAGGAAAGAAGAAATGTTAAAAGATCTTTTCCTTGGGAAAGCAGAAGGTCATAGAAATTGATTTAACCGAGCAAACATTTTTCAAGAGTCTTATATAGGCTAGGGGAATACAAGGTTGAATAAGTTTTGATGCTTCCTTTCTAGAAATTCATATTCTAGCTAGAGAGATGGACTCATGGTCAACTAATTAGAATAAACAGCGTCAGGTGCTACTATAGGAGCACAGGGGCAATGGGAAAGAAAAGATTCGTTC